TTCTTAGAAGCGTATACTGTGTACAACCTTTCTATCCTTCCTTTCCTGTTTTGCACAAGTTTCACACTTGCTTGTATTCTAATATCTCTCCCAATTCACCTCAGATGTTTCTCTATTTTTCCTTCACGAGTGTTTTCCTCAATAAATCTCTTGGATGTCTAATCCAATCTGGTAGGTTGCTCAGAAGACTTGAACTAACACCTTATAGTTTGTCCATCAGCAAACTTCATGTTATTTCCATCTCCTAAATATCTTTCATGTATCCATTCACCTACTCTACTGCCTTTAAAGTCAAAGCTACAACTTTCCTCCCCTGGAGTAGCACAGCAGTTGGCTACATGGCGTTTTATGTCTCTCCAATACATTCTCATTTCAGTAGCCAGAGTGATTTTTTTTAATGGTGAATTAAGTGTGTTACTTCTCTGCTTAAAGCCTTCCATTGGTTTCATTGTGCTTAGAGTAATTGTTTACTCCTACCATGGCTACAAGATGTTTTAAAACCTGGTTTCTATCTCTCTGTTCAGTCTTAATTCCTATCATCTTCCTGTGTGCCAATGCTCACTAACCTTCAAACACCACCAAGGAACTGTTACCGCTGCCTTCTCCCAGACCAGATGACATCTTCGCCTTTTACCCCTAAAACCAATGCCCCTTGCCAGCATGAAGTAGCCAGAGAGAATCTGTGCCCCTTTATAACAATCAAAAGGTTGGAATATTAGGTCTGCTTGAGAGAACAGCCCTTCCACCCACCCTCCTTTGTGAAAGACAGCAGATACCCTTACCAGAAATCACCCCCCCCCCCAAAACTGGTGATCACCTGTAACTGTCAATCTCCTGACTGTGAGTCAGCAAAGGACCCGAGGTGCCAAGGTCACTTCTACATCTGCTGTGGCCGAGCCTCACCCTCCCCTATATAATCTCTCTTCCCCGCTGTAAATTCCCACTCTGAAAACCTCCATCTACAGCTGGTGCTTACTGGCAGTTTGGTTTCTCCTAATAAATTCACTTCTGCCTGAACAACCTCCTGACAGTCTCCTTTCAGCAACCCTTACCGATTCTTTTCTGTTTATACAAATAGCCAAGGCCATCCTAATTGCTCTCCTATTTTTCTTAAATATTCTTCATCACTTCGGAAGCTGTGCTTATTCTCATTTTTAGCTGTCAAACATCCATTCCCCTCATAAGTGAGGACTTCTCCACCCAAGCTATCATCTTTACTATTACCTTGACTCTATCCTATTTTGCTTACTGTTTGTTTTTCCCACTTGAACAGCCCCGTGGGCTACCATTTGTTTTTCTATGGTCCATACTCTTAAGAATGGATGTTACCCATTTAGACCCACAAAATCTAACATATTTACAGAAAAAGTTTTCTGACCATTGTACTAGAATGAAAGCTGCACGGGTCAGTGACATTGCTTTAGTTCAATCCTTCAGTCCCAGTGTCTGGCGCAAATCTAATGCTCAATATGTTGGACACTCCTTCCCTGCTTCCCAAGCCTGTTAATCTCTGAGGGGGGAGGCAGCCTTACCTTTCACTGCCTTCTCCCTTGCTGAGCCCTAACAGGAATTAGGAACCAATCAGCATGAACTCTGGGGATGTGCCTTGGAGACAAGACCATGTACAAGGTAGCGTACAGATGGAAATGGAGACTGGGGTTTAGTGTGAAAGAGAAATTAGGTAGTTCTGCAAAGGACTTAGCACAGGGTTAGAGGTACAAAAGTGTTCAATAAATGTTTGCTCTAACCTCAATTTTCTTTGCTGGATCAAGAAAACAATTATTTTTTCTTTCTCTCTTTCGCCTTTTTTCGCCAATTTTAGTGTAACAGTTTCTACCTTCCAGCCAAGAAATGGGTAGGGGAAAAACAAAGGAGGGGGGTAACAGTGTTTGATAGGAACTGTATTCTTACCTTACTCACGTAGCTGTAACTCTTTTGTACAGTATCTTTACAATTAAAAAAGAAACGGGAGTGAAGATTCCAAAATATAACTTTCAATTTTAAATTAAACAATGAAGTTCTGTGTGGAAAAGCTTTGTAAGTCGCACACACCACTCGAACGGACTTGGCCAAATCCATTATACCAATAATTCCTAGCTGAACACCCTTCCCAGAAAGCTGGAAGGCGCCCTTTCCTGCTTGGGTTGGTTCACGGGGGCGGAGCCCTGGAGCTTGAGGGCGTGGCGTTGTGGGCGTGGCCGCTCCGGGGCGTGGCCTATCGCGAGCTCCTACACGCGCTCCCTCGCGCCCGCGCTCTCCATTCTCTCTCTATCTCTCCCTCCCTCCTGCGGCGCCGTGGGGCCAGGCCGCACGGGGGCGCCGTCGGGCTGTTCTGTTCCGGGAGTTGCCGAGCAGCGGAGGAGGCGCCTTCTTCCGCGTCCGGCCCCGCGGTGTCAGGCTGGGGCGGCACTGAGGGCCGGCGGGTCGCAGGTCAGTCAGGCAGTCGCCGAGGCGCAGCCACTGGGCGCCGGGTGGGCCGCGGGCCCAGGAGTCGGCGGGACGCCGATGACCCGGGCGCCGGGGCTTCAGGCTGTGGCTTGGGGCCGAATCGGGGTCGTCTTTCCCTCCGGTCGTGGGAGGCGCCCACCCCCTCCCGGCAGGGTGCCCGGCTCCTCACGTTTCCCCCCTGACCCGGCTCTGAGGCGGAGCGCCCCCCCACCGCACCCCACCCCGGGCGCGGGTCCGCGGGTCCCGCCGCGCAGACGTCGGGAAGGACGCCGCGGGGCCTGGAGTCTGCACGTCGGCGTGCCCCGGCTCTGATGAGGGGAGAGGGGGGCCCGGGACCGCGCCCCCGCCCCGAGGCCGCCGCGGGGCCAGCTGGAACTGGGGATCGCCCCGGTGGGGTGAGAGCAGTTCTGGGCCGCCTGGGGTGCTGCCCCCCCCGACCCCTCCCCCCTCCTGCACACACATACATCCCGGTGCCGCTTAGTCAGTGACAGGCCTGAGACGGGCCTCGGGCCAGTGCTAGATGGGACCCTGTTGGGGACACAGCGGGACATCCCACAAGGCTGTTTGGGGGTTTGCTTTTGTGTTTGTTTTATCTGTGTCAGTAGGGACACAGCGGATCCGGGAAGCATTCTGTAAGCGGAGTTAAGAGTGACACTGCCCCACCCTACCCAAAAGTCGAGCTGAAAACAGTGGGATAAAATGAGGAAGAAGTACAGAGCATTATATATTCCTGAAGCAGTGTGTCAGAATTCGAACTCAGGATGGATACTTGGGAAGTCAGGTTTGCCCAGGTTCTTGAAGTAGAGGCAGAATCCCAGGGGAGCTGGTCACTCACTGGTAGTGAGAACCGGCTCCATCCCACGCCTCAAAGGTGTGTCTTAACAGGGATCTTTCTAGAAGGCTGGACCTTTAGTTCCCATTTTTTCTTCTTATTTTGGTGGCAGGCCAAACTGAAACATCTAGAAAAGGATTATAGTTGATCACTTAATAAAAAGTGAATTGACAGTGACGTAGTTGAGCCTTTGGCAACCATTTGAAGCTTGCTATGAAATGTATAGATTATGTAGGATACCTTTTTCACACAGTATCATTTCTGGTTCTAAATGAACACAACAGTGACTTTTGGGTCACACGTGGATGAAAAAAATCACGTAAATCATTTAAATCTTTCTTAAAGCTTCACTCTAGTGTGAAGAAATTGAAACACATAACATTTAACAGGTATTAAACGTGTAGTTCTAAACCAGTCTGGCTATTAGTATTATAATTGTGACAAGATTTAAAATTATCATTGTTACAAATTCTGCTCTTTTGTTTTCTTAAATCTCCAAAGTCAATATCAAGTTCCTCAGTATATAACTTAGGATAAAACTTGTCGTACTAAGTATATTTGTCATTTATTTTGCTCACTCTGTGAGCCAGAAATTATTTTATATATACATATATATATATATATATATATCTGCATTTATTTTTTTAATTACCAGTAACTGGCACTTACTGTGGAGAAGTGGATTTTGAACTGAACTTCGCTGTTGAGGCCAAGCTCCTAATCACAACCTACATTGTCTTTTTCTTTTTTCTTTTTTTTGTGTGTGTCAGTTGTGGGGCCTGAACTCTGGGCCTGGGCACTGTCCCTGAGCTCTTCAGCTCAAGGCTAGCACTCTACTACGTGAGCCACAGTGCCACTTCTGGCTTTTTCTGCTTATGTGGTGTTGAGGAATTGAACCCAGGGCCTCTTGCATTCAAGGCAAGTACTCTACCACTGAGCCACCTTCCCAGTCTCCTTACATTATTGTCCTTGTCTTTTTCTTTTTCCTTAAGAGAAAGTGGTCAGCTTAGGGCTGACTCTAATTTATGATAATTACTTTCTCTTTATCTGCTAATTATTCTCTGATGGCCCTTTTTTTTTTAATCTCTTAGCTTTTTTTCCCCCTCAAGTCTGATACTCTACTTCTTAAGCCACAACTCCATTTCTAACTTTTTGATGGTTAATTGGAGATAAGAATCTCATGGAAACTTCAAAATGTGATTCTCAGATCTGAACCTCCTGAGTAGCTAGTAGTAGAGGTGTGAACCACCAATGCCTGGCTTCTTACAGTCCTTTGATGTAGCCAACATTGCTGCCTCCATTTTATAGATGAGAAAACAAGAAAAAGATAATTTGTCCAAGTTCTTAGCATTTTATCCCAAGTCATAAAACTCAGTTTCATGCAATATACTGATCTCTGCAGACTTTGAAGTTATAAAGACATGTGTACTGAAGGTTACACATATTCCCTACCTTTGCTTTACATGTGATAGACCATGTGTAACTTTAATTCTTTAAAAAGTTGGTTCAGCAGCTATACTTTGCTGATATTTTATTATCTGATACAAATCCCAGGTCAAATTTTTCCAACTTCTTAGCATATCTCAAACTTTACTCATATTATATGGCATCTTTTAGCATTGCTGGTTCCAAAGATGTCATTTGAAATCATTTATAAAAGTATTTGTTTTACATCCATTTAGTGGTAAAATTACAGTGGTGTTTCCTTTTGCTTTGACAGAGGAAGTTTTGAAGTTACTTAAAGTGTGAGGCAAAACTTGGAGTGGCTAAGGACACAATGGCGGACCATACGGTGGATGAAGAGGTGCTAGAAGTTCTCCGACTCAACGTCGGGGGCTGTGTTTTCACAGCCCGGCGTGAGTCTCTGTGCCGCTTTAAGGACTCTATGCTGGCGTCTATGTTCAGTGGTCGTTTTCCTCTAAAAACAGATGAATCAGGTAAATGTCCAAAGTTTGGAAGCATGATGGTGAATATTCATTAAAATAGAATCTATTTTAAATTCCTTTTGATTTTCCTAATTACCATGGAATGCATTAGATTAGTCTACTAATTACTGAATTTATTAGGACTGTATGGAGATTAAGTACATAGGGAAAGTAAGCACTAGTTTCTAAAGTCTGTGATAGTGTTGCTAAAAGTGGGCAAGAAAGTGAGAGGGTGTCAGGACCAACTGTGACCTAATTATCAAGATTAGCACATGTGACATGACAGCTGCTGAAGTCTATCAGTTTCTCTTTCTCTCAAGTTAGAAAACATTTTTCTCTGGAGAAAGCAGCTGGACACCTTGTTGATGACAGTCATGGAATTAGTGTTGTGTTCCACACTGGTATACCTGTGTGGTCTCCTCTGTGCTGAGATGCGTGGCTAAGAAATGCCAGGGGAGGCAGAGGACCAGAAATGATGTTTTGGAAGAAACTAGAATATAGGATAAAGTGTCTGCTTCAAGTATGGTGGGAGCCACTGATGAACCTACTGCTATTTGTAAAGAAATCTTTATCAGTCCAAGAAAGGCTTTCTGTATTATGTTTTGGACCTTCCATGAACCCTAGAATCCACTGTGGTTCTGTGGTAGAAGAGAGGGCTCAAGGGGTCCTGAGCATGAAAGGTGGGCTGCTGTCACTAGCTCAGGGCTTGGGAAAGTCATTTGTTCAGCTACATGGCAGTTGAAAGAGTGGGAAAATATCTAGCTGGTACCCAGGGCTTGATAATGAAAGGAAGCAGAAATTGAGCTTTAGTCTCTACTCCCAAGATTTTACCTTGCTAGCCCTTTTTTTTTCTACATTAATCAAAAGAGAAAGAATTATTTTCTTTATGCAGAAGCTTTTTGGTTTCAATTCTACTAAATTCCTAAAGAGCATCTTTTATCATAAAATGGTGCCAACACAGTATTTCTTCTTGTTTTAAGTGTAGATTCTCATACTCCATCTGATTAACCCAACCACTCCAGACAAAGGGCACACCTGCTCAATGCTTGTAGCATAGTTGACTTTCACTAACTGATCATATGATGATCATGCCACATTCTGTTCTTGTCCAACTGACCTAAGGCTAGGGGTGGTGAGCTTTTGCAGTTGCCCATAGTGGGATAGAGTGATTGTAACTAAAGTGGATCTTGGAGTATATTTTCCTAAATAGTAAGACTACAGGACTCTACCACTAAGCCACACAATATCTTTGTGCAAACTATGAAAGAGGGCCTTCTATTCAGGAAAATACAGTTCCATGGCATAGTGCATGCCTGGATGAGTAAAGCATGGGTTTGATTTAACTCCACTGATTCCCATGGCCTGCCCCCTCTGTATATAGAACACCATATAAACCAGACATGACACTACTGATTATATATATTTGCATCCAGACTCATATGCAGTGTTCTATAAATTCAGATGATTTTCCCAAGCAATTCACTCAAATTCAATTTTAAAGTATTATTGCTAAGTCAAAACATCAAAACTTTAGCTCAGCGTGAGTGGCTAACCCTCTTTTACTAGATGTTAACCTTCTTTGGTGAAAGAAACTTTTGTAGTTGTAATTGATCATTGTCTTTGAACTGAATGTTTTCTAGGGGCTTGTGTTATTGATCGCGATGGACACCTGTTTAAATACCTTTTGGATTATCTTCACGGAGAAGTTCACATTCCCACAGATGAACAGACTCGAGTTGCCCTACAGGAGGAAGCTGATTACTTTGGCATACCTTATCCATACAGCTTGTCTGACCACTTGGCCAATGAAATGGAGGCATATTCTTTAAGGTCAAATATAGAACTTAAAAAGGTCTTGACATTTTCTCAAGTTTTAAAAAAAATCCTATATTTATTATACACAAAGCAATATATACCATTTTTCATAGCTTGTGTTGTCACATAAACCAAACAGGAGGCAGCTTTTACAGTTTTGAGCACATGTTTCTTAATTACTCCTACTTACGTTATAAAGCTGAGATTTGATTCTAGAAAAGTATATTACATTGCTAAAAGACTTATCAAATTCCCATAACTTTTTTAGTGGTACTGGAAGTTGAACTTTGAGCCTTTTGCTGGTAATGTGGCTTGAACTCAGAGCTTCATGCTCTTTATTGACTTGCTTCCTCGTGGCTGAAACTTGCTCTATTACTTGAGCCATGTCTCCAGCCCAGCTTGGAGATGAGTCTTTCAGACTTTCTTCCTGGGCTGCCTTTGAGCCAAAATCTTAGTCTCCTAACTAGTCAGGATTACAGACATAATTTACTAGTGCTTGGCTTGGATAATTTTGTTGTTGTATGCTGGTACTGGAGCTTGAACTCAGGGCCTTGTGCTCTTTCTTGGCTTTTTTTGTTCAAGGCTGGAATTCCAGCACTTGAGTCATACCTCCACTTCTAGATTTTTTTTCTGATTACTTAAGAGATCTGAGTCTATTAGATTTATCTGCTTAGGCTGGCTTTGAACCACAATCCTCAGCTCTCAACCTCCTAAGTATCTGGGATTACAGTCATCTACTACATACCAGTGCCTTCGATGACTTTTTAATAGAACATTCTCCTTTACAAGTTTTTTCTTTCTTTTTTTCTATTAGCGATTGAACTCATGACCTTAGATTTGCTTAAAGTTCTTTTTAAGTTAAGAAAACTGTAGTATATGAGAGCATAGTGTTAATTATTTTTGGTTTATAAAGTGATTTTTAAAGGAATGGTCATGCTAAATAATAAAATCTCTTCAATTAGTGAGTATAGCAGTTTGTTACTAAGTTAAAACATTAGTTTGATAAATTTTCTTTGAGACTGGTAAATCTTTTTTAAGGTGTTTCCATTTCAAATCACATTTTAAAGATTTTTACATGAGTTCAAAAGCTTTTTTATCTTTGTATATTTGCTACTAGTTAACATTCAAGAAAAATACTCCCTAGAAAATTGTCAATAATGAAAACTGTCAATTTTCATTATTAACACTTACCTAGGGAATGTTTTAAGTGGTTTGAATTATTTGATTTGGATGTTAGTGTGTAGATAAGCAAACTGGTGGATGTTTGGTTATTAGGCATGCAGACAAAAAAAAAAGCTAATTTGGTTCCAGATCCCCTTCTGGAATTTGCATGGGAGGCATGGGCTCTGCTCCTGAAGTTACTTATAATTTAACTGTCATATAATATAGTCTTTCAATGCTATTTCCTACATCTGCAGAATGGGGCTACAAAAGTTTGGTGATAGGTTGGAGAGGGTTATCTTCTTTTGAATCCTGTTCTATTTCTGGTTTGTATTGAAAAAGAACAAGGGCAGCCCACACTTATTCTATCAGCCAACACATATTTATTTCAAATGTTTCTGACATGTCTGGCACTGTACAAGAACTATGCAGGACATCAAGGTATTTAACATTCAGTTTTCACCCTCAAGCAGTTTATGGTATAATTGGAAAATAAAGATGTGCAAGGGAAGTTAAGAACCAAATACAGAAATTAGATGGCAATGTTAGATGCCAGTACAAGACATGTAAGGGGGCCTAATTTCATTCCTGAGTTAGTAAGCAACTAGGCATCTTCTTTGTGCCAGCCCCTATTGCAGAAACATGGTCTATTTCAGTGAACAAAACAGACAAAGATGCCTGTCCTAAGGGTCCTCAAAGCAATCATATCATTTGTTCCAGCAAAGGCCCCACCACTCCACTGTGTGAAGCCCCTTGCTCTTAGCCCTATAGCATCATGTCTTCTTATCAGGTGGCATATAATAAGTATTATATCATGTGTTGAAGGCTCATTGAATGATTTCTGATTTCTGTATTAGCTATAAACCAGTTAATATCATCTTATATCTTATATCTCTTAGACCATAGACGGTACCTCCACATGTTCAAGTGAATGAATGAATGAATAGGTGGATAAATGTCAAATGAGTTCAGGCAGTATATATTGAGTTTACATATGTCTACTAGTATAAAAAATAAGTTTATCTCATTAACTCATGGTTGTAATTTGGGGACCAGCTATGGAGATAGTCAGTAGAAAGTGGAAGAAAGATACAGGTAAATGAGACACTTTAAGAAAAACAAAGGAATGAGAAAACACTAGTTCTTATATGAAGATTATAAAATTAAAAGTGATATGCAAACTGAAAGAGAAGATAAAATAGAATTTCGGTGTGAAAAAGGAGTCTCTAAATAAAAAGTTGTTAAGGTTTGGGAGGTATTTTTTTGTGCTTATTCCCCTCCTTCCTCCAGTTAATTCATAACATATGTGTTTAAAGACTAGTCTGAAATTTATAATCTCTTTTTTTCTGTTATGACCATCTCAAATTGCAGCTGTTCATGAAAATAATAGAGCACATTCATTCTTTATTTTATGCCATAATTAAATCCAAATTTTATGTTATTATATTTTTTTCTTTCTTTTTTGCTTTAGGCCTTAACAGACTTCTGTGATTCATATGGCCTAGTTTGCAATAAGCCAACAGTTTGGGTTCTCCACTATCTTAACACATCTGGTGCGAGCTGTGAGAGTAGAATTATTGGTGTATATGCCACCAAAACAGATGGGACAGATGCTATTGATAAGCAGCTGGGAGGAAGGATTTACAGTAAAAGCATTTTTAAAAGGTATGTGCAAATAGTGTGAAAGTTAACCAAATCAGCCAGTGTCTACTAAGAGAGTTGTGGATTAGAAAAGACATCATGGCCCAGCAGACAGAGTGGCTCTCAGCTATGGAAATAGGCTGCTTTGGAGCAGGTGATAATACAGAGTATTTCACAGAGCTGTAAGTCACAGGCCATCTTTGTGATTGAGGACAGCAGTTCTCAACAGGCACTGAGCACTAGAGACCCTGTAGAAGCCTTTAAAAAGTGAAGAAGCCTTTAAAAAGAAAGAAAAGAGGGGCTGGGAAGTTGGCTTAGTGGTAGAGCGCTTGCCTTGCATGCCTGAAGCCCTGGGTTCGATTCCTCAGCACCACATAAGCAAAAAGAAAAAAGCCGGAAGTGACACTGTGGCTCAAGTGGTAGAATGCTAGCCTTGAGCTGAAGAGCTGAGGGACAGCATTCAGGCCCAGAGTTCAGGCCCCATGACGGGACCCCTCCAAAAAAAATAAATAAAAAGAAAGAAAAGAAAAGCTATATGCCCACTGTTTCCCTTGGACCATAGTCTGGAGTGGATGTACTAGCTTAGAGGTTGGCAGACCACTGAATGACTAGTCTGTGCCTTGGGTTCTCTACTAAGAATAAAGAAAGCCTTCTCTTTTTCTTCCAGCTCTAGAATTCTATGACTTGAACATATTAACTTCTTAAGAGTTGTAATCTCTCTGTAGTTTTACTTATACTGGTAAATTTATTTAGGAAGCTTTTATTGCTTTAATTCTGTGGGAAATTGGATTATGTCACAGCTTAGAGACTAATGTATGACTGTATAGGCTTGTTTTAGTTGTTTAGAGATATCATCAGTGTCCAGCTTCCTTACAGATAAGGAAGTTTGTATATAAAATATGTAAAAACCTGGCATGATGCCAGGTTAATCTGAGTGAAAGTTGAATCTTTTCTAATTGTATTAGTTAGCTGATTTTAAGAAAAAAGAATCTTGTTGAAAAAATTTGTTTATATCATGAAGTTAATTCTTTATTACAGCAAAAAGAGACCAAACATAGATTAGTATATGTTATGGTTCATGCTTAAAATTCATATTGTCACAATAAAAAATTCATATTGTATGTTTGTATGCATATAGATATATGTGTGTGTATTTCCCCTTACCATTTATAGAGTGCCTGTTGACTGTATGTGTATATATCCACACCTAGGTGGTTTGTTTTCTTTTCTTTTTTTGTAATATTTCTAGAGAGGCGGGAAATAATGTTCAGTACATTTGGAGCTATTATTCAGTAGCAGAGTTGAAGAAAATGATGGATGCCTTTGATGCCTGGGAAGGAAAAGGTACAGTACATTTATTTCATTTCATGGAAGTAAGTAGACTTTTCCTTAATAAGACAAAGTAGAAATGCTATATATATATATGTATGTACATAGTTTTTTGAGAAAGCATTCTTTTTAGTGTGTCAAGGTGTTACTTACTTGCTAACACTGAGGCAGCTTACTTACATGTCCTTAAAATCTATTAGTTCCTAAATATTATTACACTATCTTGATGCTACTATAATATAATTCAGTAATATCAAGCATACTTTTTCTACTTAATTCAATTAAATATGAGCTTATTTGGATCTATTGGATACCTAGCATTGTCCTAAATTAAGCATATAATGTATAAAAAAGGGAGAGGAAGTGAAAATAATGCTGGAGGACATGTATAAAGAGCTCAAATAAAACAAAACCTTTAAATGCACACTTGGAAAAATGACCATTTTTAATTAAACTACTTAGAGTTGATAAGGATAGTAATGCTTTAAACCTGCTATGGTTTGCAGTTCACATTAGATATCTCTTAGTCCTGAACAACCCTGTGTACTATTTGCTATTTCTATTTGACAAGAAAACCAAGTCTTGGAAAGGAGACTAGCTTAAGGATCCCAGAGGGATATTTTTTTTAATTAACAAGTAAAGATGGAATGTCTGTATTGTACAAACCACTGTAAGTTCCAAAATTGCATCCTGTGATAATTGCATCTCAGTCCTCAAAATGTATTGGAACTCAGTTATGGACAAACAGAGAGGTCAAATTGGGAGTCTTTATTAAAGAGCTGGCATCTGCAGGTAGACTCCTGTCTCAAAGACCTGCAGACCATCTAATACACTTAACACTGTTAGAAAACTGAGCCATGGGAGCAGGAAAGAAAGAGAAAAAGACCAATACCAACAAACCGTATCAGCGCCAATGGAGAGACTGAAGTGGCAACTAGAGAGCCAGGATACACAGTCATGAGGCATAGAGTAATGTGCCTGAGTTGATCTGGGCCTAAATAGGGCCAGGGTCATGGGTCAGGGTTCATAGCAAGGACAGGTCCAGTAACCTCTCATTCAAGTCCCTGCCTCTAGGAATTCAGGCTCACCCATTACCTGGGGATTGAACTTCTTTGCCTTAACCATGAAGACAAGATGGTGCCAGTTAAACCCAGTACCCTAGCATCTAGCCACCACGTGGCTAAGATGGCACTGGTTAGATCCAGTATCCTTTTTTCAAAATGACCTTGAAGCTAGTAGAGACAGATTGCAGATTGCATGAAAATAAATGAAAAGAGAGGAAGCGGCTTTACAAACTTTATACCTGCCATTCCTTGTTCAGGTGGGTGCTGGTCCCAGCTCTTCTTTTTTGATCAATTGTGTTTCTTTAACTTTTCCTCTTTTCTCCTCTCTTGTTACACTTTCCAAGCAAGCATAGTGGCATATAATAATGAAAGAAGCGCTTTTCTCTTTATTACTGATGATTTAGTGTACTTTGAGACACTTATGCTTAAGTTGAGGAACAGTGTTGGGGGGGGTTGGAGTTCTGTGTCTTCTTTTGTGTCTCTCTCATGGCAGGATGCCCAGGATTCTTTGGGAAGGCCCTGGCCTGGCTTCTTTATCTACTGACTAGGAAGCTGAAGAGGAAAGCTAGGATCATTCACTTTTTATAAAGCCTTTGATTGATTTTTAGCTCTTTCAAAAACATAATGGAGCATCATTGTTATTTAACAGTTTCCAAGGAGGCTTTGAAATCCTTAAACCAGGAAACAAAAGTAAGAGAAAAGTCTGTGGAAGGGAGAAGACAGTTGTTTTATGTGGGCATATGTCTTTTTACAAAATGTAAAAAAGTATTTTAGGTGTTGAATTTAATAGATAATTATCAGCTGGACTGAGTGTAGTTATAGAATCAGCAGCAGCTAGCTTTGATAAATCATTTAGCAATTTTAGGGGGAAATCCCATTCATGGGACAGGCCAAGACATGCTTGGGTCTTCTAATGAAGAAAATTGCTAATATGTATTTAGGCATCTCCTTTAGACATCTCTCCCCTTGTTCATTGAACTATCTGTACATCCATATTATATAGACCTATGTAGGAATGAACATGTAAAGTAGAAATGAAAATTTGGGGAAGTAGAAGTAATGAAAGGGATATATCTTAATTCTATTTGATAGTAAAACATGCTATAGATTTAGTGAAAACCATGTGTTCTGGTTTAGGAATAGAGCAGACAGAGTAAACTCTAATGAAGTTATAAAAATAAAAATGCTATGTGATACAAAGTATGAATTACCAATGGAAGAAAATAGATTACTTAATAAGTAGTTGAGAAATATACTTGAGAGGAAAAACAAAATTTTCATATCATTTAATCAAACAATTGATTTATTAATAGGGATATAAGTTATAAGCTCAAAATAGATAATTAAAAAAGTAAATTTAGCTACATACATTTTGGTACAATCACAAGATGGAATACAGCCATTAAGATTATTTTAGAATATTATTTATATGTTATATCAATACATGGAATATGTTTATATATTGTAATATATGATTATATAATCCAATATGATGACTGTTAAATTATGTATAACTTTATATAGAAGGGAGCTTTGTGATAAAATCAATGATTAAAAAGCAGGAAACAACTATAAAACTTTTTCAGTTATGAGCATATCACATGAACAGAAAAAAAAGATTGGAATAAAATAGTTTTCAGGTTAAGTGTGATTTTACATTTTTAATTATTTTTCTATATTTCCCAGGTTTTGTACGGTAAATGTGAATTACCTTAATAATTATGAAAAATTATTATTTAAACAAGTGGCAATGACTAGTCATGGAAGGAAATGCTACTCTCATCAATAAAAAGATCATTGACATATACATTAACATGGTTGTATCTTAAAATAGCATTCTAAGAAGCCAATTTTGTAATTACTATGAGAACTTTAGTGGTAAAAAAGACACCAAGTCCATTCTTGGAACTTAAAGGGTTATTAGGGCATTATTTTTTAATGCTGAGAAGTTTTTATTTACTATAATTCTTTGAGCATCTTTTCATGTATCTGTATATAACTTTTTAAAATTGAATTGAAAGTCACATAATATAGAATTAACTACTTTAAAGTATATCGATCAGTGGCATTTACTACTTTTACAATTTGGACAACTGATAACTCTTACTTGGGTATCTCCAAAACATTTTTTGTCACCTCAGAGGCAATTCTAGTAACCTCTATAAACAATTAGTCCCCATTCTACTTTTTATTAGTCCTTTACAACCATCATTCCACTTTGGTCTTAATTGATTTAATTATTCTGGATATTTCATTCAAATAGAATCATGTACTATGTGACTCTTTGTAGCTGACCTCTTTATTGATAACAGTGTTTTGGAGACTCAAAAGAACATAGCTTTTACTTTCTAATCAGAAGAGAATATCAAACTTAAAATTGAAAATGAATTTGTCTGGAATCACTATTCTCATTTTCATAGAGTGGTGATGTCTCCTATTTTCAGTGTGTGCTGTTTACAGAGCAGTGCTAGTAACCCCACCTCATGAAGTCTACAGGGAAAGTGATATAATCACTGCTTCCAAGTGCTACTATACTGCCAACACTATGGCTGACTTACAAAGGCACCTGACACTTTCTGTGTGCTTAGTTGGTCGTGAGCCCTTCAGTGATCACCTCATAACTGTATGCACTGATAACAGTGCATACTGTTTTTATCAGCATATCACTGAGGAAATAAAAATTTCAGTCCAGAAAATATCATTCCCAGGGTCACATCAGTGATTGAGAGTAGGATTCATATCTAGTTAGTTTTGGCTAGTGCCTCAGCTGCCAGTTGGGCATATATCATGAGTTGATTATCTCAGCAGTCAGTGGCAAGATGGGGTAGTTAATCAGCTTTGCCTGAACCCAGGTCATGAGCTGTGACACTTTACTGTCCTAGAGCATTCAGTGAGCACTTCCTGTTTGTGTTGTCATCCTACCCTTCATTAGGTGAGAGACATAACCTTATACTACATCTTGTTGGGCTTATACTGTTGCTCATTGCTTATGGTATTTGGAGCTCCCTTAATGATGCCTTTTTATCTTCAAGGTGTTAGCTATTGGAGGGTCCCTCATGAGCTGATAGAATGTTGGACTTTGGAAGAACAGCCTTTACTTGGAAGCCTGCGTCACATGGCCCCAATTCGAAAGAGGTTCTTTGTGATTTTTTAAAATTATAATTTTATTATCTTTAAGTAGTTGTACAAATGAGTTATTTTGTATTTTTAAAAATCTGTAATTGATATTGTTAATGACTTTAGAAAAGAGAAATAATCCTTGATCTTATTAAGTTTATTAATGACCTAGATGGATAGTCTACCTTACCATCAAAATATAGATCTTAATAAATACAAAGTTACTGAAATAGTGTATAAGAGTTGAAATAATTCCCTAAATCTGGAGGTGAAGGAGGTTTGAATTCAGGGCTTTGTGCTTGCTAGGCAGGCTCTCTACCATTTGAACCACACCCTGAATCCTATTGTATTATTTTTTGAATATAGTTTTGTTTTTATTCCAGAACCAGCCTGTACTGCAATACTCTCATTTATGCCTTCTGGGATAACTGTGTTAGTGCTACCATACCTATGCTTTTATTGGTTCAGACGGGATCTTATGAACTTTTTTGCCTGGGCTGGCCTTAAACTATGAGCTTGATGGTCTCCACCTCCCATGTAGCAGCTAAGATTACATATATGAGCCACTGTGCCTAGCCCAGTAAGGTTTGGAAAATGCTGGTGGAAGCTAGAGGCATGACTTGCCTAACACCATGAGACTGAGTTCAATCCCTAAGACTACTGAAAAAAAAAAATATGAACTTCATAGCATAGTGCCAGTGCCTCATGCCTGTAATCCTACCTACTCAGGAAGCTGAGATCTAAAAAATCATGGCTTGAAGGAGCTCAGGTAGAAAAGTTTGTGGGACTCCATCTCCAAAATAGCCAGTAAACAGCTGTGCTAGAGGTGTGGTTCAAATGTAGGCAATCTGCTGAGCAAGTTAGAGGCCCTGAGTTCAAACCTTGGTGTTGGTATTCCCCCAGCCCCTTACTGGAAAAAAAAATACTAGTGGAGACCACTGGAATGCTCTGGTAGGCATTTTTTACCCCCAACAGAAATGGAATTCTAGGCTATATTTGACAGTAGAAAAAGAATCTGTTTAGACTTAATACTTGAAATTTCCTGTGGGTTATTCTGAATTCCTTTCTCATTTATTTGCCATAAATAGCATTTTTATTTGATGATATTTTCTTGTGCTCCATGAAATTATTAGCATTAAATTCATCCCATATCTGTTTCTTTGTTTTTATTTAAATTAATGTTTCTTTTTCTTTTAGTATCTAAGTTTTATTCATGGCCTTCAATATTCTGATTTTTTTGATTGCTTGTTTTAGGATTTGATTCATATCTAAGGAATTTCAGACTACTTTTTAAGTTTTGCCTCTGGCTTCTTTTGCAGAAATACAGCTTATTAAGTTTTTTAAAAAATTGGTCATCTTTTGTTAAAACACATCTCATTTCTCAAGGACACTATGAGATAAGCTTTATGATGGACAAATATTGTTTATTTAAAGAGCAGTGTCTCTGAACTGGAGGTGTTTTTGTCCTTCCAGTGGATGTTTGACAGTGTTTGGAGACAATTTGGTGGTTCCTCTCTAGGCTGGGAGAAAATTGCCTTACCTGTGTGCCTGTGAGGTGGACCTTATGATGGGGAGATGGTGGAAAGCAATGAGAGGAACTGGCAGTGTTTTGACAATTCTAAGTAATTTTTAGAAATGTTGTCTTAAGGCTGTTTATAATGAATGGTAAACTATTCAGGAGTCTTTGAAGGCTTGCCCAGACTTCAAATTGGAAATCATCTAACCACACCCACACCATGAGTTTGACTATTCTAGTAGTCTCCAACAAAATGTGAACCACACATGTGAATTTTACTGGCTGTCAAAGGTGACAGTGTGACTGGGAAATGCAGATGTAACAAACTTAAATAAACATCTTTCATATGTCAGAATGGATTTTAAAGGTCCATTTGAAAACATATGCAGCAGTTTTTCATCTGTATTTGGCTATGAACACTCTGTTTCTTTTTCTTCAGTTGTTGACACTGCAGTTGTAGGAAAATCTACCTTGATTATTCTTGTGATTCTCTGGGCCACATTTGGACTATTGGGAAGAGGGTGATATGTTGTATAATCCTTAGTTAATGGTCCAGATTTTAACTTCTTGCTGATGTTAACACTATGTGTGATTTTAAAAGATGAAGTTTGCATTCAAATTGAGAATAATCTTTTGTAAACTTGCTATTTTACATATTGACCCAGTAGATGAAAGATGAGGTGGGTTTATCTCTAAACTTCCAGTTTTAAGGAAAGCCTTTTTGTTAAACCAAAAGGTATGCTTTGGAAATATTTTTATTCATTACTAAAAGTGAAAATGCTGAAAAAAAGATATGACTTCTGTATTTTCTAGGCGATTGATAACCCTTAATGAAGAGGAAGAAGGTGTGAACTGTAAGGCTGGTCCTAAGCCAGTCAGGTTTTTGGGCCCTTCCACAAGCACCCAAATTAAAGTAAAGAACTCTGCATCAGTCAGGGTGGCTCCAGCCAATACTGTCCAGACCTCTCACAACAGCAGCCGTAGAAAGGCAGCTCAGTGCTCCATGCCCAATGTGGGTATGAGGGCATCTGGGCATTTTCCAGCTTGTGATGGTGCCAGGAGTGCTGAGAATGGAGCCACACACCCCTCGCCAGCAAAGGTGCTACTCTCTGACAAGAAGTCTACATCCCACCGAGTGATAAAGCTGAAGAGGACTCCACTGTGTGCTGTGATTCCTTCTGTGCCCACGCCCACAGCGGGGATGCAGGCTGGCTCCCCAGAGCTGCCTTCTCTGGAAGCCCCTAACACATTAAGTGGACAGACTGAAAATGGGAAAGAGCAGGCTGATGGATAAAAATGATGGAATTGAAATTTCCCATTTTCTCAGAGCTTCCAACACTTTTGATACTAATAAGTGACACTATTCCTTTATGCAGTAGGAGGAAAAACATGTTTCTGCTTAGGATTGTTGCTAGAAAAGTGACTTATGTGATGTAGGAATGGAATGACTTGTGTGACTTTGTTGTTGGAGTTATTCTCCTTTTCCTAACTTTTAAAGGGTTGTTTGTCTATGGTCAGTGTGATTTTTAGTTTTTAAGATTTCTTTAACTTATTTGGCATAGAGACAATGAAGCAGGATAGCACAGTAATTACTAGAGAAGTCCTCTTTCTTGCTTTACCATTATAGACACCATGAATTTTTGTAATGCCACTTCTTGCAGCCCAAGAAGGGGTCTGAGGAGTGGGGGAAGACATTTCCATCTGTGAGATGGAGAAGGTGGTGTCAATGCCAGCCTTCACTGTGTCACAGCCGGGAGAAGTTCCAGAGAAAGTGTGGATCAGGTGAGGGACCCATGATTGCTCCTGGTCTCAAAAGACAATATGGAAAGAAATGATAAGAAGGGAAAAAAGACATTAGAGATCGCACTTTGAGTCTTGCTTATTTTCTTTCCTGAATTGGCTTTTTTAAAAAACTCTATTCTGTTAGCTGATCTATTTATATACACCACAAGAAAACATGGTTATAACATGGTTTTGTAATGAATTGTTAAAATATCACATTTAATTAGAAGAGTGAAGTTTTTAAAATAATTTGAAAAAGAGAGTGTGAATGTTTAACTTTTTAGCTTGAAGTTAGTATTTGTTCTTCAGACGTGACCCTGAAGTCATTCTGATTATAATATGATTTTGTGCATAAGATTTCTGTATAACAATATTTTTAAACAAAAAATTTGATTAATCCTCTATTTTTTCATGGCTATTCAGTTTGTATGTTTACTCTTACAAGTTATGTTTTATAATTGGATCACATATTTCTACTTTCAGTGAGCACTATGCCTGCATAAAGCATAAAGTTTAGAAAGCAGGGTAGTAAAACTACCTCCAGGGCTTATTATTGTACTTTCATTGCCTTGAAATAGTAAAGTAAGTATCTACTCAAAATACTACTTTTCAAATAAAAGCTTTTCCATAAAAAGTGACACTTTCTTTGTGCTTTATTAAAGCCTTGGACCTTTAAGTAATATGGAAGTTTATAAAACGTTTCTATTTCTGCTTGCAAAAATTGTTTTCTTGTCCAGATAAAGTAGAAAATAATTAAACCAGTTTTGGCTAACTGTTCATCTACTTACTGGTACCTTTTTAAATAGGTGATTGATTTAGGCAGAAATGGTAAGATCCATGTTGACATTCTCTAGTAGAGAATGTCATCTTTTAAAAAGTGGTATTATAAAGTACCCAAATATTCTTTTTATTTTATTTATTTTTTGGGGGGGGGTCCAGTCGTGGGGCTTAAACTCTGGGCCTAGCGCTATCCCTCAGCTCTTCAGCTCAAGGCTAGCGCTCTACCACTTGAACCACAGCGTCACTTCTGGCTTTTTTTTCTTTTTTGCTTATGTGGTGCTGAGGAATCGAACCCAGGGCATGCAAGGCAAGCACTCTACCACTGAGCCACCTTCCCAGCCCCCCCAAATATTCTTAAAATTAAGAATCATAGAGAATTTTTGGACTTTATTAGTATTATGTGATCTAAGACATTTTAAGTTTCTAGTTTGTATAAGAAAATTTCATACAAATAAAGTCTATAGTATACATTTTATACATAATAAACATTTCTTTGATTCATTCAATAGCTTCCATTTGTTTGTATCAAGTAGTTGAAAGGAAATGTGCTCAGTACACTTAGCCTTTGTAAGTATTCTGCTTTGTAGAGCAGGCATTGGGAGCTGCTGCAGTAAGATGGGAACGTAACAGGTGGATCTCTTACGGGTATCAGCAATTGAAGTCAAATTCAGAGTGCTCAGATAGCTTAAATTATTTGGGGGTAGTTTACTGAGAATTTGTCTTGATTTTCTGTCAGATTTTTTAAAATTTGCTTTTTTAATACTAAAACCTTCTTTATGTTAGCAGACTCTGCAAATGTAAGAGTTAGGTAACTGCTATAAGCCATTGTTCTTCCTGGACAGAAAGGAGAAGAAAAGTAGCAATTGGAGAAGTAGGTGCATGCAGTTGGATCAGGAGTCATATAGAAATACCAAGTGGTAAGTAGGATATTTAAGAACTACTCATAAAAGAGTTGTGTGTTACCAGAGAACATGTGAGGAAAACTGGCTTGTCCTGGTTAAGTCTGATTAACTGTCATGGAGAGCCTACGGCCAGCAAAATAAATCCTTCTGAGGGATTTATTTTACTTGTATTGCCTTATGTTGGAATTTATAAAAAAGAACTTTAATAAGTTTTACTTATTTCTTTTTGGTTTTAGATCAACATTGTAATTGAAAGAAGCTGTGGTTGGTTCTTAAATACAAGAAAATGAGGTTCAGAAAAGTTAGAGCTGTACAACAACGATCATATACTCTCATTTTTGGCCCCATGATCCAATTTCTGCAGAATGACACAGCATCAATCTGATTCAAGGAAAAGCTAGAGGGAGGAAGTAAATAGAAAAGCCTGTGAGTGTGCTTAGTATTGGGAAGTTTTTGAGCAGGAATATATTAAACCATTGCATTATGTGTCTGTCTTCTAGCTAGAAACTGTTTCTTCTGTACGTGTAGGGACTGATACATAGGAAGCCTTTAATAAATTTCTGTACAGTTGAGGGCAACCCCAGGCTCAGAATTACTTTCGACCATTTTTCTGTTAGTGATCTGCAAGGGGTACACAAATTGATTTCTGGCCTTGCAGAATTTCTGCTAGCAGGAGAACAACTATTAATAACCATAATTGATATTAATAATGACCATCATCATTATATAACTCATAAAGCAATTTATAAGTTACTTTATTTAGAGACATTCATCACTAGATTCCAGGGAAGTACTTCCTGATAGTTGTTGAGAGGAAAGCAATAATAGGACCTCCTCTCCTTACTCTAGTGAATCATCTTTGCTGATGCAGTTTCTCTCTTCACAGACTGAATTCCATTACCTCCTTAGCAAGTGCTAGTACTGAAACATTTGACTCATTTCTACCTATGGTTAAATTTGGCTTAGTTCTTACTCAGCTATGCCTTGATTAAAAAAATTTGCAAAATTATTGAAATATTTTTTTCTTTTTTTGTTTTGTTTGTTTTTGGTTGGTCGTGGGTCTTGAACTCTGGGCCTGGGCACTGTCCCTGAGTTCTTTAGCTAGTGCTCTACCACTTTGAGCCATAGCGTCACTTCTTCATGTATTCTTTTAAATTTAAGTTTTGTAAATGTGATGTTCAGAAGGGTTACAGTTACATAAGTCAAGTAATGAGTACATTTCTTTTTGAATAGTGTTACCCCCTCTCTCTTTTGGTTCTACTCCCCCCCCCAACTCCCTTCCCTCTAAATTGCAAAGTTCATTTCCAGCAGTTCCTAGTGCGTATCAGTGTTGAATTGGTTCACCCTTTGTCCCACCATTTCTGTGATTCCCCTTTCCTTCCACAAATCTTATAAAGTTATATACAAGACACAGTACAGAAATAAAAAACAGTGGCAATAGGGAATAAACCAAAGGGGGAAAAAAGAAAGAAAAAAGAAATAACTGACAATGGTACAATAACAAAAACCTCTTGTTTTCATTTCTTGGAGCTCATTTCGATAAGCATCATTTTATATGGTCATACGCACATAGCTATTGCGCTATTGTGATCCTTGCCTCAGAATATCTTCCTTTATTCTCACCGTGTGGTGCTTAGAGTACTGTTTGATTAATCATGTCCAAGTGTAATTATTTGTCTTTTACTATCCATTGGATTAATTTGTAGATTTGTAGACATATTCTAGTTATTAATAATGAGAGAAATCATGCAGCCTTTCTTTGGGTCTGGCTTACCTCACTTAATATATTTTTTTCCAAGTCTTCCTATTTTGTTATGGATGGGGCAAATGTCTTTCTTTCTGAGGGAAGCATAGAATTCCATTGTGTATATATACACTACATTTTCTTGATCCATTCATCCATTGAGGGGCATAAGGATTGATTCCATATTTTAGCTATGGTAAATAATGCTTCACTGAACATGCGTGTGCTGGTGGCATTAGTATGACCTTGTTTGTGGTCATTTGGGTAAATGCCCAGGAGTGGGATTGTTGGCTTATAGGGAAGCTCTATGTTTGGTCTTTTGAGGAATCTTCATACTGCTTTCTGGAGTTAAACTTCCATTTTTAAAGAGGGGATTAACCTCCAAGCATATTTAGCTTTTCCTGAGAATTTGCTTGTAGGAAGTGTGTGTGTGTGTGTGTGTGTGTGTGTGTACTGGACATGGGGCTTGAATCTAGGGCCCTGGGCACTGTCCTTGAACTTTTGTAGTCAAGGCCAGCACTCTACCATTTGAGCCACAACACTACTTCTAGCTCTTCAGTGGCTAACTAGAGGTAAGAGTCTTATTGACTTTCCTGGCTCAGGTGGCTTTGATCCTCAGATCTCAGGCTCCCAATAGCTAGAGTCACTGGCATGAGCCACTGGTATCCAGCTCATACACAGGAAGATTTGATTTACATTTACTTTGGATTTTGAGTGTGTACCAAGGCTTGTCGTAGTAAATTGTCCTGTAAAGGAAAGACTGCTGTCATTTTTATCAATAAGAGGTTGTCTTATAAGGGATTGCTTTTCCCCTTCATTTCCTTTTCATTCATTTAATTATTTGGTCTCATGGCCAGATACCTAGTAGAAAGTAGGAACTTGAGGAAATGAAGGAAAAGAGACTAAAGCAAATAAAAATATTTCCAAATGATTTGCATATGTGTATTCATAAGTGTGCTAGGAATGTTTCAAATAAGGAAAATATTGTTATTTTCCTATGTTCTCAAACTTTCCCTTGAAAACTGTCAACAAGTTGCCATTACCCCAGTCAGTGAATACTAGATGAGAGATTCTTTGTTGAGAACTGCAGTTAGTATGCGCAATCTCAAGCATATAGTTCAGCCAAGAAAAGAAACATCATGAATAGCTAGCATGAAAAAAAAGTTGGTTTCCAGCTGTTTCCAGAATTGTATATTAACGGAAGTTGGTTGGTGGTGTAGTCTCAAAGGGGCCATTTCCACTTACAGTCCTGTCAGCCTCATGAAATACACATGGTTTTCATTGTTACACATAACCTAATTTTTCTTTGTTCACATATGTGTTGCCTCAGACGAGCCATACACATTCATATTTGCTAGCTAGACTGTTTGTGATGTAGGCTGTGGCTAAGACAAATAGAATTTTACAGTAACTGTCAGTCAGTATTCTGCCCTACTTGTTTATTTAACAGCTGTTCATTTTATAATGTTGCTTCTTATGCTTTTTCTTCTTTCACCCCAAAGCCCTCATTACTAAAATTCTGCTGAGCTCCAGGTATGAATCTGGAGATCTGGGCTTAGAAGAGAAACTTGTTTTAAAAAGCAAAAAGTGTATCACCAAAGAAAAAGACAATACATTTGCAAAAGTTAAAAAAGGAAAATATGCTTCCTTCTGCCACTGTTTCTTCACTGGCTTCAGTGCCAATTCTTTCAAGAATTCATCCCCTGTTTCTTTATTTGGAAAGAGCTGAGAATTCCCAGTTGGAATGTAGCTGCAATTAATAACCTAAGAATGTCAGATAGAATGTCCCAGGTTGTAGGTCAATTACATGGGTTGGAACCAGTTAAGACCTGAGTATAGGTGGAGGAATCTAGCTACTGTGTTCATGCTTGACTATGCCATCACTGTTTCCTTTCTTCAAATCCCTAGTACTTTCTTACCTTAGTCTCTTTTGCTATAACAAAGTGCCTGAGACTTAGTAATTTATAAAGAACAGATTTGTTTCTTACAGTTCTGGAAGCTGGATGCCTAAGACTGAGGGCCCCACATCTAGTGTAGGCCTGGCTAGAAGCAGAAGAGTGAGAAAAACTGAAGTCACAGCTTCAAGCTCTTCTAACAAGCAATGTCCATTCATAGATGTGGAATCCTCATACCCTAACTACTTCTCATTGAGCCTTGCCTCCCATGACTGTAGTATTGGGGGATTAATATCCATCACATGCTTTTGGGGGAG